TCAGTATTGTTCAGGATGTCAACTTTCCACAAGTATCTATAGATTCAGTAGAATCCCAATCATGATGCCAGTAGGCTTTATTCACAGAAATTGAAAAATTGATCATAAACTTTATATGGAACAAAGAACCTAAATAGATACTCCTATCAATTTCGTAAAAAACAATGAAATCAAGTACTACTTGACTCCAAGACTTGCTATAGATCTAGTGGAATGTACTGACATAGAGATAAAAGAAACAAAATTTTTTTTTGGTGGTTCTTGGGCTTGAACTCAGGCTCTTGTGCATGCTAGGCAATCACTCTACCACTGAACTATATCTGCCGTCTTAAAAGAGAATAAAGGAACAGAACAGAGATCCAGAAATAGGCCCACACCTATACAGTCAACTGTTTTGTTTTATTTTGTTTCTGTTATATGGTTGTTTTGAATTACTGGGGATTGAACCCAAGGCCTCTGCACTGAGCTACCTACTCAGCCCTTTCATGTTTTAAGAAAGGTCTTGGTAGTCACTAAATTGCCCAGGTTGGGCTTGAACTTGGTATCTTCCTGCTTCAACCTTGCAAAGTGCTAGGATTACAGATGTGCACTCCCAACCTGCTTCGGTTAATTGTTCTTTGATAATACTAAAGCAAAAAAAAAAAACACTGGAGAAAGAAAAATATTGGAAGTTCTGGGTTAGGGATATAGCTCAGCAACACAAGCAACTGCGTGGCAAGCTCCAGGTCCTGAGTTCAATTCCCACTACAAAAAAAAAAAAAAAAAAATCTGGAAATTTTACATTATATCATTTTTTTAAACAGTCTTTGCTCCAAAGGGTGGAGCACTCTTCTCCCTTGAGTATGAATTGCCCTTACTAACTTAATGCTAATGAAAATATAGGCAGCAGGGACAAATTGTGTGCCTATAAAAGTCCCATCTATTCAGAAAAAAGTTTAGATCAGGGCCAGCCTGGGCAACATAGCAAGACACTGTTGTGGGAAGCCCTGTAATTGGCTGCCATTTTATGGATTGGCCCGAGCAACTTTATTCAGTGGGGATTATCTTTTGTGAAAATCAGAATATATAGAAAACTACAAAGAAACCACCAGGCGCAATACACAAGCCGGCAATGGGTGGGACCTTGATATGTTAATAGGGGAGGATGCCTAAGCCGACAGAGAGACTCAAAAACAATTTAACCCAGCACTTTTCAAACTCAAATTCAAACAGCAGCTACTCAAGCATGGAAAAAGCTGCCTGCAAAGAGCAATATGAGTTCCTCTCTCACTAGTATTAAGCAAGGCCCAGATTTGTCGCTCGTTTGATTACTGCCGCTGGCAGAATCTTTGGCCATGCTGACACAGGCACAGATTTTATTAAACAGTTAGCTTTTGAAAATGCCAACGCTGCCTGTCAGGCCACTATCAGAACTCATAAAAATAAAACAGACCTAACAGGATATATACGCCATTGCTGTGACATTGGAACTGCTTATCAGCAAGGCCTTGCTATGGCTGCTGCCTTGCAAGGATTTACATATATCTCAAAAGCATAAACAGAACTGTTTTACCTGTGGCCTCTTGCTGCCCTGTCTTCCAATGATGGGTAAGGCTAGGTTGGCCCCCCTTTGGAAGTGCCCTGACCCAAGACAGGCACAGTCTCCTCAAGGATGCAGCCTCTTATATTTTAAAGAAAAGGGGGACCTGTGGGAAGCCCTGTAATTGGCTGCCACCTTATATGTGCAGGCCGTACCACCTTAACTCCCTCTAGGAGTTAAGTTTGGTAGTTAAGCAGCACCTTGCCTAGCTTGTTTGGCCTATTCAGGGATTATGCTTATGAGCCCGAGCATGGGAATTTGAAAATTTGATTTAACCTATAACCCTCAGTCTTGCTACTGTTGCTAAGTTACCTGCTGATGTCTCAGAAACCAACTCCTTCCTCCCCAATACCCTATATATTTGTTACTTTTTCCTTGAATAAACAAGACTTGATCATATTCCTGACTGTCTCCATTGTCTCCATTCTTTGCGTCTCTTGTCCCCTTTCATCCCCACTTCCCCTCTAGGTCTCCTTGGACTTACCCAAAGGCCAGGACACACTGTCTCTAAAAAAAAAAAAGTAACAATGTGTGACTAGGCTATAAGAGTCATCATGCCTTCCTCTTCACTCAGTCTTCAGTCATGTACTCCACAAGATAACATGTATGCCTTGAGAATACTCATAGAACTTTGTGTGAAGGTCTTTTGTTCAGAGGCACTATGACCTCCTGCCAATAGCTATGCAAATCATTCTAGGAAAAGAACCTCTATCCTAGGTAAGCCTTCAAATGAATGCAACAGTAGAAGACACCTGAACTGCGACTTCATGAGACTAGAGCCACAGTTACTTCACTAAATACCTCCTCCTGAATTCCCAGTCTCAGAAATAAACTGCTACATTTGGAAATATCATATTGGATAGCAACAGATAACGAAATATACAAATCATTGCAACAAATGTTGCTGCTACTGGAACAACCAATGATGCATGTGGGAAAAAATAAGCCAGAACACCAATCTTACATAAGACACAAAAATTAAAGGTGGATCAGAGAACTCAATATAAAACCTAAAACCATAAAACTTCTGGATGAAAAACATAAAAACTGAATGATTTGTAATACTTGACCTCAAGACTTGCTAGAAATCTCCAAGATTTAGACTTCCTCAAAATTGAAAACATCTAATCCCTAAGATATACCAATAAATAAGTTTGCCACTGTGGGCTGAGAAAATACTCAACAAAACACATAGGACTGGTATCCAGAATAAAGAACTCCCAAAATTCAATAATTTTAAAGAGGAAAGGGGAAAAATGATGTGACACACACCTGTAATCCCAGAACTTGGGAGGTTGAGGAAAGAGGAACACAAATTTGAGCCTAGGGTGGGATACACAGTGAGACACTGTCTCAAAGTAAAAGAACAAACAAAACCTAAAGGGTTTTTTTGTTTGTTTGTTTGGTTGGTTTTAACTGGCCAAAGATCTGAGTACTTCACAAAGGAAAATACAAAATGACCAACAAGTACATAAAAAGTGGTTTACATCATTGGTATTCAGGTGAAGTGCAAATTCAAACCACAGTAATATACTACTACATTTTCAATGAAATGACTAAAATTAAACATTGGCAACATGCTAAATGTTCCTCTATATGTGGAACCACAATTCTCATACAATATTGGTGCAGCTATAAAACTTATAAAACTAAACCAATGGCAATGGCGAGTTTTTGTACTCTTAGCACTCAGGAGGCTGAGGCAGAAGGATAGCCATGAGTTCAAGGCCAGCCTGGACTACAGAATGAGACCCTGTCTCAAAAAAACAAAAAACAACAGCAATAACAAAAGCAAGTTCAAGCCCAGCGTGCGCAATGTACTGAGACCCTGTTTCTAAAAGATAAAGGGGTGTGGAGGGAGAAGCAGGACATAGCCCAGTTCAAATTGCCTAAATTCAAACTCTAGTATCAGGAAGGAGAGGAGGAGGAGGAAGAAGGGGCGGGGGAGAAGAGGAGGAGGAAGACAAGGAGGAGGTGGTAGTAGAATGATTCCATTTATGTGGTTTCACTAAACTGCCCAAACTGGTCTCCTATTTATAATCCTCGTGCCTCAGTCTCCCAGAGTATTGGGATTACAGGAAAAATGTTGCCTACCTTTAATGGTAAAAAAAAACAATGGTAGAGTACATTCCTAGCATGAGGCAGGCCCTGTATTCAATCCCCAGCATGAGGTATGTGTGCATACACAGGCATGCATGCAGAAGATAACGATGAAGGATAAAGTAGAAAAAGAAAGAAACTGAATCTGACCCACCTTATAACAGGCTCTGAATCTATACAATCCATCTAAATTAACACAAAAATTAAAATCTGTTATTTTGGTTGTTTTGAGAGTGTCTTGATATGTAGTTCAGGCTGGCCTTGAAGTCACTATATACCCCAGGCTGGCCTCAAACTGGCAGCACTCTTCCTGACTTCAGTTTCCCTCATGTAGTGAAACCTCCTTCCTAGCTAGGTTCAGTACCTGTAATCCTAGCTACTCTAGCAGCACTGGGAAAGCCTGATTGTGAGACTCTGGTGTTCTTACACCATGGCCTACCTTCCTTGCAGTATAAAAAAGCATAAAAAGTGCTGTCTCTAGTTTCTCAAAGGTCATGGAGCTCCATGTCATTTTGCAGTGGCAATAAACTATCTGAGTAAGTAATCCTACAGGTATGCATTACCTGCACCAGCTGACACCTGCTTCTCTAGAACAGACTGAACCAATTGATCCTGGTGCTCTCCTAGCCACTAGGCAAGGAAAGTGAATGATGATGGGTTCTGTTTGGTTGGCTGGTTTTCTTTGTGACATGGCGATTGAATCCAGAGTGGCTCTAGCGCTGCACTATACCCCAGCTCTTTTTAAAACTTTATTTTGAGACAGGGTCTCACTAAGTTGCCCAGGCAGGGTTCTATCTTGGAATTCTCTGGCTGCAGCCTCCCAGAATGCTGGGATTGCAGGCTGTCACCCTCAGCTTAGAGGTAGTGTGCTGAGAGTTCAAGGCTAGTCTGGGCAATGCAGGAAGACTCCGTCTCAAACATAAATAAGTAAATTTTTTAAAAAACAAGTTTTCCTTTAATAAATAAGAGCTTTTCATTCTAATGAAAACATAAAGCTATACTTTAGTCTTCTGTTTTTGTTTTTTGAGACAGCATCTCTCTATATATAGTCCAGACTGGCCATGAACTCGCTTATGTAGCCCAGGCAGGCCTCAAACTCACAGTGACCCTCTTGCCTCAGTCTCCTGAGTTCTGGGAGCACTTGTCACCATGCCTGGCAGGACATACTTTATATAAGAAATTAAAGACATTTAAAGCAATTTTACTCATAATTATTGAAACTTGGAAGCAATCAAGATATCCTTCAGTGGGTGAATACAAATGAACTATGGCATACAGACAATGAAGTATATCACTCAATGCCAGGCACGGTGGTGCTCACCTATAATCCCAGGACTCTGGAGGCTGAAGACAGGATTGCCATAAGTTCGAGGCCACCACAGGCTATATAGTAAAACCTTGTCTTTAAAAAAAAAAAAAAAAAAAAAAAAAGTATATTACTCAATGTTAAAAGAAAATGAATATCAAGCTATGCGAAGATACAGCATGGTAGCACACATCTACAGTCCCAGCACACTGGAAGGCCACAGCCTTCCACAGTTTGGGTAACACAGTGACTTAGTGATACTGTCTCAAATTAGGGTAAGTAAAAAAGAGACAAACTAAGGAGGATGTAGCTCAGTGCAAAGGCCTTGAGTTGCTTTCTTTTTTTTTTTTTTTTTTTTTTTTGGTACAGGGAATCAAACACGGCACCACTGAGCTAAATCCCCAGGCCTGGGTTTAATGCTATTAAAACTCACACACATAAAAAAAGACACATAGAAAACTTAAATGAATACTACCAATTGAAAGAGAATCTTAAAAAAGCTAATAATTCCAAAGATACAACTTTGGAAAGGTCCAAAGTATGAACATAGTAAAACTAAGTGGTTGTCAAAGACCAAGGGGAGGTAGAGATGAACAGGTGAAACACAAGAGAATTTTTAGGATAATGATTTTGTATGATACTATGATGGGTATGTCATCATATATTTGCAAAAGTTGCAAAATGTACAATACTAAGAATGAACTCGGTGATAATGTATCAACATGCAATGAGGCCCTCACTCAGTCCACAGGGACAGTGGCAGACACAGATGAGGCCAGTGTAGCCCTAGCAAGTGCCAGAGACCTGCAGGACGCTCCCAAGACCTTTTTTCAGACCCACTCAAGCCCTGGCCAGGTCACATACATTGGATAGGTAGGCAGTAAAGACAGTTTTGAAGCAATTTCAAAACAAGGTCCGAGGTATCCCTTGGCAGCACTCACATGCAGTGGCCACTGCCTTAGGATCAAAAAGCTTAGGCTACAGGCTCCTTAGTCTCTGCACACCCTCTAGGCTTCACATGGGTCTTGCCCATGGGTGGGAGGTGGGGGTCACAGGAAGTGTTAGCATAAGGAAGCACTTGGGTGGGAATATGTCCAGGAAGTCTGGTTTGACCTGGACAGAAGGTGGTTAGTTTTAGCAACAGATAACACAGGCTATGTAAGCAAATCACTTAGCCTCTCTGAGTCTGTTTCTTCATCCATACAGTGGCAGGCATGATCCTCATTTGGCAGGAATAATCTGAAGACCCAGAGCATGTAGAATCCTGAGGGGAAGGCTTGGCACTCAGCAAGATGAAAGGGGGATAGAGAAACTCAAGCATCTCCAGGAAGGGCAGGCCCCAGACGCAGGCAGAGAGGGGAGGCTCCCTGGAAGAGGAAGGGATTCCAGCTCAGTCTTGCAAGGTGAATGGGATGGGGTGGGCATATTATGAGGGCATGAAAGGAGACACCAGGGACTGAGTGTGTCTTGAACTAGCACCTGCCTTTCAAGCCAAACTGACCCAGCCGTGTTCTACGCAGGCCTTCACCTGGTCAGAGAAAGTCCTGCCTTGACATACTTGCCTCACCCAATCTATTCAGATGGGCTTGTCCTGTCTCACCTTGAGTCTGGAATCAGTTGTCCTCTAGTGCCCCCATCTGAGACACACTCATATATGGGCTGCTACCAGCGCTTTACTTGCCAGTGTTCCTGTGGCTTGCCCATGAGCTCTTGGGGAATACCCAGTGATGTAAGACATCCCAAAATGCCCATCTGAGCATGATGTGGATGCATGTAACGTCCAGATACAAGCCTAAGAGGTCTCCACCTTTGAAGGCACTGACAATACTTCAGACCACGTGTGGTGGCACATCTGTAGTTCCTGCTACTCAGGAGGCTGAAGCAGGAAGATCACTTGAGCCCATGAGATTGAGACTAGCCTATCTGATCTCAAAAACCACGAAGAAATAAAAACAAAAGCAAAACTTCAAAGAATATTGGTACAATAAAGACCCACTATTAGGCCAGGGATTTAGCTCAGCAGCATAAGCACCTGCCTGGCAAGCATGAGGTTGCGAGTTCAATCCCCGGTACCGAAAAAAAAAAAAAAATTAAAAAGTTGATGAATATTAAATACTCTATGAAGTTGATGAGCCTGTTAATAGGTTACTACAAAACTGTAATGAGAATGTTCCACTTCTAATGGCATTGTGTGAGGTATTTTCCCCTGAAAATATTTTACTTGCCTTTTCTGCAGGATGTTGGCTAAATTGTATCAACAACTGTATAAATTTTGTGCCACATGAGTCACAGAGGGTCTTATCTTTCTGTTAACACCAAGCTTTAATTAAGTGTTGAGTATTCCAATTTATCTGAGTACCTGCAACAAAACTTTTGTTGGAGAATAACCTAAAACTATTGCATTTTATGTACAACTCCTGTCCAGAAGGTACAAAGCAACAAATTTTTTCAGCCTTCACAGAGACATTTCTGCCAGCACCTTTTACAAATAAGATTTTTCATTCTGTGATTTCTGCATTAGCAGATGTACAGACAGCTTTCCCTTTTGAACCTTTTCTGAATGCTCTATTGTTACTGCAGAGAGGATGATTAGAAGGAAGCGGTGAGCATCGTGACTTTTTTATTCTAACTAGTGGCGGGAACTATTTGGGGACGCTAAGGAGAGCCTACTGGCATTATCTACAGATACTCTAGACCTTCTTTCCCAGTTACCTGCCTCATCTGCTGGTGCCAGTTCTCAACAGTGCCAGGCATTCTGCAAAAGAGTGAGACAGCTGATCAGCCCATCACCTTGAGCAAGGCTGCCTCCATACATAACCAAGATTGGCCTGAGGAAGCTGGACACAAAGCAGCAGACCAACATCCTGCCAAACCTGGAGTGAAGGAACTTGGCCAGCAAGGAGGGCTTTCACAGGGATGGCCTCCATTGCCACATGCTCACAGTGCTGCACCACAAAATGGTGCCCAACTCAGGCTTCCCTACAGTTTAGCCTTCAGTGCCAGATTTGAGGCACCTTCAGTTTCTCATCTCTTCATGACAATACACATAACCACAGGGTTCACAGTGCCATTGTTCCAGGTGATATGGAAGTTCTCCCATGTCTTTGGGCGACTCTAGTCAAAGAATTCCACTTTTACCTTCAACTCTTCATTTATATAATTGTTTGCTTTTTCCATACATGATAATGAATTCTTTGGTAACCCATAGAAGCTGCAAGTCAAAAACAATCAGTGATGTTTTCACCATGGAGAAGCCAATCATGCTGGTCTTGCTGCCTTCAAGATGTCTTCTTAGGTATCATGATGCAAACTGGCACACTCACAAACAAAACCAAGGTTCAAGAAAAATATATACTGCTGGGCATGGTGGCACATGCCTATAATCCCAGCACTTGGAAGGCTGAGGCAAGAAGATCACCAGAAGTGTAAAGGCAGCTTGAACTACATAGTAAGACTCTGTCTTAAAAAAAAAAAATACGTAACAGCATTTTGAAACATCAGAGTTATTATCGATTCTGGGTTGTAACACTATATACAGATAGAATGAAAAACAATAGATTCAGTTGTTTAAGGTTATCACCAATCTTGTGAAAATACTGAAATGGGACGTGATGAGAACTTTTTGTTCTCCAAATCACTAGCTGTCAAAACAAGAAGATATTAAGGCAGATGAGGTCACCCAGCTGTATGGGTAGATGTTAGCATCCAGACACGTGTTGAGGTTCTGCCTGCTACAGTCCCCTTTGGAGTCCTCACTGCTGTCTGCATGTAAGGAACAGCAGCTCACCATCCTGACAGAACTGCCTTTTGTGGTCCCAGATGGAGTAAATGAGGATTTTTCATGCAGATAAGCAAGAAGTTCAAGAAGATGGCTTATTTCTGAATAGAACTAATGTCACTCTATTTACAAAAGCACTTACGATAACCTTTCCACAGAAAATGAGCCTGATTTGAAAAAAGCAGATTCATGTGTACTTGCTCAATGCCCATGGCCTGAAGTTCGTTCTGATGGTGGTGGTATTTTCAGACAGGTTTTAACTGAGTTACTGAAATTTGAATTTATCCCAACTCGGTTTTTGGGTTTTGGTGGGGTTTTTGTTTGTTTGGTACCAGAATCAAACTCAGGACCTTGCATTTGCTAGGTAGGCACCTAAGCCACTGAGCTATATCTCCAGCCCCCAACCAGGAGTCCTTTAAGACTACAAATGAAAGGCCAAGTGTGGTGCCATACATCTCTTAAGTCCAACACTTGGGAGGCTGAGACAGGAGGATCACCATAAGTTCATCACCAGTATGGGCTACAAAGTGAGTTCAAGGCCAGCCTGAAATACACAGCAAGACCCTATCTCAAAAACCTCCTCAAAAGAAAAAAAAAAAAGCCTACACATGAAGGGTTTCTTATACCCCTTGCTTCTATATGAGCAACCAAGTTGCTCATATACTTGTGGAAGACTATTTTGCTCGATTACTACTCCCTGAGCAGAGTACTCAAAAAGACTCTCTAGGAAAAGATGCTGGTGAGGGGCTGGGGATTTAGCTCAGCAGCATAAGCGCCTGCCTTGCAAGCGCACAGTCATGAATTCGATCCCTGGTACCCCCCCCCCAAAATGCTGGTGGAACTGCCCTTCCTACTTTCTTTTTCTCCAAGGTGCTGGGACCAGTGCAGATGTAGACATCCTTAGTCCTTTAGTCCACCCAGCCTCCTTAATTCCTGAGGCCTAGAGGAACTTGCTGTTCCTCAAGAGCTACCAAGGGGACAAGGAGGGGCTGGAATTGAACTTCATAAGAACAATCTGAGAGAGATCCAAGTGGCTTAACTAAAATTTGGTGGGAAAGATCACGACAGTGCCAAATGCATCATGTACATCTACCTTCTGGCCAGCTCCAGGGTGAACAAACAGATCTGGTCACAATGCCTGCCATTCCAATAGGCTGTAGCCAACTCCTCACCGTGGAGTGGCTGTGGGATGTTCAACCAGCAAGTAAGTTCCCAATTTATGAAAGAGTTCCATTCCAGGAGAACATATGGAAGTTGGACTTGATCCCAATCAAACGAGTTTTAAAATACTCTGACACTAATAAACAATGTAAAGCATAAAAAACCAAACACACATATAAAATTATAGTCATGCCTCAGTTCACTAACACTTCTGTTTGCAAACAATTCAGTTCATAAACAAAAAGCATCTGGCAAAACTTTGCTTCCATTCTTAAACTGCATCTGGTGACAAACACCACCAGTATAGTGAGGCATGGCAGTGCACCCCTATAATCCAAGCACTTGGAAGGCTGAGGGAGGAGGACCACCACAAGTTCAAGGCCAGCCTGAATTACAGAGCAAGACCCTATCTAAAAATACACAGATAGCGGGCTGGGGATTTAGCTCAGCAGCATAAGCGCCTGCCTTGCAAGCAGGCAGTCATGAATTCGATCCCTGGTACGGATAAAAAGGAAAAAGACAAAAAAAAAAAAAAAAAAAATACACAGACACAACTAAGGCCATTCTCCCCACTCAAACACAAATGCAGCTATCTTTCCCAAAATCCTAAGACAAATTTTGTGAACTGAGGTACCATGTACTCTAAATAAGCTATTTTTACTTCACTGATTTGGTCACATCTAGAAACGTTCATAATGCAAAGTTTGTTTTGTATCTGTGAAAGTTCTCAACTTGAATGTAAGTCGCAGATACACTGTATTTAATTTCTGGTGTACAAGTTCCCATAAGTCTTAGAGGATCTAAAACTTTATAAACTATTCATGAGGCTATTCTATCATCCTGTCATTAAAAAATTTTCTGGGGAGTTGTAGATTTTACTCATAAAGAAAAGGATAAATTGCCCACGTTTGTAAAAAGTTGCTCTCTCTCCGGTCAGGAGTATAGCTCAGTGGCACAGTGCCTACCTGGCAAGCTCGAGGTCCTGAGTTTCATTCCCAGTTCTAAATAAAAAAGTTGTTCTCTCTCTTCCCTCCCCTTGGAGTTTAAGAGCTTTACCTTGCATTTTGGATCCACACTGAGGGCTCTGACCTTCATCAGCTGGCCACAGCCAATACCTACATAAACTTGTGGACGCTGCCCAAGTTCTGTGAGTAAAGCAAGCCTTTCTACACCATCAAATAAGACAAGCTGACCTGCGGGGGCGCTGAAACCAACCTGCATACATGAGAATTCCTGGCTGGACCTCTCAGATCTCCTCAGCACCTGCCTTTTTCCTGGTCTTCCTCTCTTTATTTTTCAGATGGCTTTTATTACAACATGGTTGTGTATTAACACTGTTTTTCAAACAACAATTGTTACAGCACTTGATCTTAGCCAAAAGACCAAGAGGCAATCACAATTGTTACATGGCACGTGGAAGATTTGGTA